TCATACTCGTTATGATTAAAAATGCCTGCCTGTGGTGACCATGGTTATCACTAGGTGATCTTGCTATCTGAGTTTCTCACCATGAACTGGGTGTTACTGGATCCACAAAATTATAAGGCTGGAGGTACCCAGAAGGATAGTCTTACTAAAGGAAATGATGTATATAGGACTAGACCCAAGCAAATCCTGAAGGCATGGTAAATTGCCTGAGCAGTTGACTTAGACTCCTACTGCACTTCCACCCCTTGGGGAGATTCCCTGTGATCAGTTCATAGAGGAGGAAGAGAATTTCAGCTTGGTTATAATGCTCTGCACAATATTCTGGCAGTTGGTAGAGGTAGACTCCAGAAATCTTGCCAGAGTACAGAACTTCAAGCATTATATCACTGTGAGTCCTCTGATAGGAATGAAATGATCTGAGATACAAATCTACATTGATTAATAGGTAGTAATTAAATGATTTGGTCAGATGATGAGGGACTTTGAAAGAATGAGATTGTAGGATTGGTAATAAGGAAGTCTGGGAAAGAGATATGTGGATGGACCTTCCGTAACAGGCACTGAGTGTGAGGAAATTTATATTCCATGTGAATCTTGCCAAAAGGTCTGATTTTGGAAGAGATTGTCAATGATCAGGTGAAAAAGGTGACCCATCCTGGGGATATTGTTTAGCAGGCAACACTTTCTCTGGAGTCTTTGGAGTTTCACAAGACCTTTTGGTTTAAATAACATTTGTATTAACAGAGAATGGATTTCTTTTTAACAAAGATCAGAAGACAGTCTAGTAACACTTGTGAGTATATACATGTCTCCATATTGCTGAGGAGAGCAAAATGATATTCTTGGAAAGATTCTTAATTTAATACTTTATCAAATCAGGTTTTTAAAAGTAGCTTATGATGCAGAATTTATTTCTCTTTTCAAAGCTGCAAGAAGGGACATCTCTTTCATTTCTTTCTCAGACTCCTTTGGTTAATAATGAAGACTTTTATTTTTAAGGTCAGGTTGTGGAATTTTATTAGTTATATTAACAGCAGGCCTATAGGACAGAATTTTATTGATAGAAATGGAGAAAAGGATTAAAATGTTATTTAATAATAAAATGAGGATATAGCTCTTCTTCATTATTAGTAAATGCCTTATATACTTATAATTTCTTTCTAAAAAGACCTTGAAACTTCAGAGAAGACAAATGGTCTATCCCTGGGTTTAAGTGATAGAATAAGAGCATTCTGGTTTAATCGCATTCCAGAGAGGAAATATTTAAGGTTTTTATATAGCTCAATATTTGTCAACAATGATATGATTGACTAAAGAATATACAGATATAGCCAGCATTTACTGGTATATTATTCAGAATAGGTATGTTACTCAGACTGTATATGGTGTATTGAGTTTAAGAATACTTAGCGATATGTAATTAGGAATAAAGAGGATGTGATGGTAGGGGAGAAGGGGGTGTGCTAGCTGGATTCAACTAGCAGAGGGACTGAACTTTTTGATGCTCCAGAGAGCAGAACTAGGGAGGCAAACCCTAGCTTTAACCATAAGGGAAAAATTGGCCTGCTCTCTGCAAAGCACTTGCAGAATATGAAAAATGGCCTTGCCCTCAAAAAGCTATAGCCTAGTGAAACTGTTGAAGAATCAGATGAAATAATGCACGTGAAAGTACTTTAAAAAATGTCAGCTATGATATAGGTGAAAGTTGTTATTCTCTCTCTGAATTCTTCTCAAAGAAAATAGATGGAAAAATGTTAAAAAAACCAGACACCTGAGGGCATTGTGGTATTTAATAAACAATGACAGTCCAAGACATTTGAAGACAGTTAATGTATCTTAAAATGCATTTTTTTTCTTATTAGAAGAATATACTGTGATTTTATTGGCTTCTAAATTCAGGTATTACTCACCCTATTAACTGGCATTCTTAAAGATTTGTAATAATTTTAGATCAAAATATCATTACAAAAATAGACCTGTGTATCTAAATATGTTAGAGAATGAAAAGCTTTAAATAATATGTTTTTTCTTTGTTTTGTTTTTTCCGTTGGAGGGGTCAAGTTCCATTCCAGTTTTGTTTCAGTGGCTTGATACCCTAGAAATACTATAACTTGTGTTGCCCCTAGTATTTTAAAGAGTAACATTTTGGAGAGGGATGGAGTGGGAGTTTGGGACTAGCAGATGCAAACTATTATATATAGAATTGATAAACAACAAGGTCCTATTGTATAGCACAGTGAACTATATTCAATATCCTGTAATAAACCATATTGGAAAAAGAAAAGAAAATTAAAAATTAACATTAAAAAATAACAAATAAATATTAGAGCCCTGAGGAAAAGCAGGAAAAGCAGACAATTGTCAGTAGTTTGCAGACTATTTTTATGTCTCTGAAGTACAGTTTTTAAATGGATGTTTTCTGCATATTAGCAAATGAATTATTGTTACAAGATTTTTATTGTTTCTGGAGTATCAAATAAAGACGCAGCATTCATTTCTTATTTTAAGACAGAGATGTTTGGGTAACTTAGACATTAGGTGTACATTTTGAAGAATTATACTATAATTACGTTTACTAGGAATTTCAGTTGGGGGTCTGGATGAGGAAAAAGACCTCTGCTGCTAAAGGAATGATAAAGGTTAAGCTTTAAACCCCATACATATCACCCTGGGTTTTCACTGATTTTATAAATAATCCCAGTAGTCTTGTTAAGAATAATGAGATTTTTTTTGTTTTTCAAATCATAGAACCAGACATGGAAAAATAGAAGACTGATAGAGGCAGGGATGGTGACTGCAGGAGTAATTGGAGAGAGGGAGAGAGGGAGAGAGGGAAACTACTGCCTCACAACTTAGTTAATAATTTATCATTAACTTAGTTATTAATTTTACTAATTAATAGGTTTTATTGATTAATGTTATTAATAAAAATAATGCTCATAATGACTATTCTGAGTTATTAGGATTAGATTTGTGATTATATAGGAAAAAAGAGGAGTATAGAAATATTTTGGAAAAATTTCACTCAAAAGGGCTGATACAGGGCTTCCTTGGTGGCACAGTGGTTGAGAATCCACTTGCCAATGCAGGGGACACGGGTTCGAGCCCTGGTCTGGGAGGATCCCACATGCCACGGGGCAACTAAGCCTGTGCACCACAACTACTGAGCCTGCGCTCTAGAGTCCACGAGCCACAACTACTGAGCCCGCATGTCTAGAGCCCGTGCTCTGCAACAAGAGAAGCCACTGCAATGAGAAGCCCGTGCACCACAACGAAGAGTAGCCCCCGCTTACCACAACTAGAGAAAGCCCATGTGCAGCAACAAAGACTCACAGCCAAAAATAAAATAGATAAATTAATTAATTAAAAAAAAGGCTAATATAAACTATTTGGACACTTGTGAGGGTAAACTTTGGTATCAGACAACACATATCTATTGAGCATCTCTAACAGACAGAAGGGTGGATTCAAGGATTGTTCTGCCTTCAAGCAATTTACAAACATATACTTGAAAAACTAGCAATGGAAACAGCATGTCCTAAGATTGTGATAAAGATACTAAGAGGGGAAGGAAAGGAAAGGAAATGAAAGGGAAGGAAAACAGCTTTATGGTTGCCAAGATCTGAAAAGGAGATGGATCTCAAGCTGGACCTGGGAAGGATTGAGGAACCCAAGGAGAGGTGGGGAGGGCATGAGGAGAAAGAACCCAACTGATATAGAGAATAACATGAGAAAGGCCAACCACCTGAGGGGTGCGTCCTATTCCCCACAGTGCCAACAAAGGAAGCCTTTACAGATGGATTAACTGGCTTCCATTTCTAATGAAAGAGAATCTTAAATAAGCAGGAATATAAGTTTCTGCTTTGAGATATTACTAACCTCCTCAGCCAAAGTTTCAGAGTTTATCTTCTCTCAGAGTTAGACATGTGGTAAACATTAATAATAACCTCAAACTGGTGGATTTCAGAAATTATGCTAAACTGAGATCTAGTCTTTGTTACTCTAATCTAAATTATTATCTGTCTTATTCTTAAACTGCCCATTGTAGCATCTATTAGTATAATAGTTTGAAAACGCTCATTTTGCTTTTCATGTAAATCTTATTGTCTGTTATATCTTGCAACTATAAATAGTTTTACTTACTACATTTATTATAAGTATATTGTTCTTTGTCATTTCTAGTTGAATATAGAAAATAGATTACTTAGTGCAAATTACAGATGTTTTAATCTCTAAACATTATACATTGTGATAATTATCAAAGATGAAAAGGTCAATTATTTAATAAAAATGGAAATTTGAGAGTATAGATGTATTTTCTTTTAAAAAATCTTTATATATATGTGTATATATATATTCATTTATACAGTTTCTGATATTCCACTACTAGTGATTATAGTTCACAGTAGTAAAGTGGGGCTAACAGAAATGAACAAATGTTAAAAAGGAAATTATTTAGCAGCTTGTTAAAGTAGCTTGTAACTTATTGTAACTTGTGTTACATATATGATATATATATAACACAAGATTTAAAGATATATGTATCTTATTACATTCTACATATTAATAGTGATTTTTTCTGTTAAAAAGCTTTTTATTATGGAAAAGTTTAAATGTATACAATAGTAGACAGAGCAGTATAATGAAACCCCATATATTTATCACCCCACCTAAAAAATTATAAACATATAGGCAATCTAGTTTTATTTATGATCCCTTCATTCCCCACTCCCACCTCTCCAGAAATAGTTTTAAACAATTTCCAAACATCTTATGATTCTATTCATAAACACATAAATGATCATAGTTATTTAACATAGGAAATACTAATATATTTTATGGATAAAAATGCTGTAATCTCTATAGCTGTTTGATACTGACATGTTAACTGTAAATATCTGTTAAAATTCACAGTTATCATTGTTCATCATATCAGATAATGAATTAACCATACAGGTTCAGATTTAGTCAGCTAGTATTACAAATCGTTCCTGGTGTTGTCAAAAGAGCAGGACTGTCCTAATGCTGTTAATAATAATAAAACAACAATCAGTATAATTTTCATGACAAATTTCACCAAAACCCATGAATAATTTTTGTTTTTTTCTTTCAAGATTTGTTTTAATATTCTTTATAGATACCCACTTTGCTAAGTCTAATTTCTTTTATCTTGTCATCCACTTCCATTCATGACATTACTAATACTTTATTCATGGTGTTAGTAAGCTGGGGAAAAATTGGGGACCCTCACTTGATTCTGGGCAAGATCCTTGTGGCCCAGTGGTGTTATAGAGAAGTAGAGCATGTTGAGGTTGTCGTGAGATTTTCGCCTTGGAATAGTCGCTGCTCTTGGCTCTCCCGTAGCTTAGGGAAAATTGGGCATCAAAAGAAGGGGTGGTTAGTGTGTTGGAATACTGCTCGCGGAGAACTCAAAAGTTCCTACTCCTTCAACATGTAGAAACAAGGAGGGGGATAAGCCTCAAAGGCAGAGAATCTTGGACCTTACTGCTGGAGCTGTGGAATCCCTGGCATCAGCAGGTTGCCATGCACAAATATTCTCTTCACCCAGGACCTGGAACTATACACCTCCCTATGGAGGGAGAACTTCTGTGGCCTTTCCTCACCATGAGTCAGGGTCACTACACCTTAACAGGCCACCTGCGTGTTTTGTTCCCTCCAGTTTCTTGCTTCTGTGCAGTTGGTATGGCAGGAGGGCCTACCCTCAGTTGTGCTTCCCGTATGGTCAGCATCCCTGGAGAGGCCCATCCTCTGCCTTCTCTGTTGCCACCTTTCCAGGTGTGTGGACAGTCAGGTGGTCTTCTCAGTAGGCCAGGGGGGAGAAGGAGGCCTCATTCAGGTGTCTACCCCTAAGCCTCCATGCTACCACTGACTACCAGGCCTACATGGGATAGTATGAAAGACTTGCCCAGCTATTAATAAAGTAGTGCAGCATTTTCCATTTGGCTGCCACTTAGCAGCCCTTGTGTGTATATTCCATGACTGAGAAAAAGGGTAGTTGTGGAGGAGCTATGAGCGCCAGGGTCTAAGGCTGTAAACCCCAACCTGACTCCTAACTTGGGGAATACTGCTTATGGGAATATTGAGATTGTACAAGATGTTTTAGGGCTTACACACTAAGTTACTTTGTGTAGCTTAAAAAATAATGTTTACTTTTTCTTTTCTTTTTTTCTTTAGAAAATCTTTGATGTGCAATAGCTAGGAAGTGAAGCAACTTTATACCTATCTGTATGGATTAGTTTCAGGTTAGCTCCTAACTACTGTTAGGATCCCAGAAAAAGACTGAGTGAAGCCAAGACCTTGGGAAAAGTGTGGGCAGAGAGAAACCCTAGAAAAAGGGAGGAAAGGGGGTGCCCATGAAGGGCAGGAGGATCGGGAGTGGGGAGGGACTCCTGGGAAGGAGCAGAACGCAGACAGTCGGAAACAGAACTCAAGGATCTCTGGGGGTGCCTCAGGCAGAGCCCACAACACTCCACCCCTGCTCTTGTCACACCCTGGACTTCCTTCCGCTCATGGATTTCTTCTGGAGAATTCTGAAACTCTGCAACTTTAAAATAGAGGTCTAAAAGCAAGGACTCTGACATAGTTATAGTCATTGTCAGTACCCACAGATAATCAGAAACACTTGGAAAAACAGCTACCTCTCCCTAACTCTTAAAACACCACCGTGTGTCACAGCCCCATTTCAGGCACAGTTTTCTGGAAGACTCTGCTGCCTCCTGGAAGAGCAGAGGCCTTTGCCCACCTGTAGAACTTGTTGTCTGATCTTGATGTCTGTCTCATAGGGCCTGCCATTACTCTCCTTGATACAGAAGATCTCTTATGCGGCCAATTTGGTGTGGCTCACAGGCATCCAGGTTGCTGCCTTTGATGTAGTTGGAGTATTTCTGGTAGTGTTCTGGATTCAGATCTTCATTGATAGGCTCCTTCTGTGGGTGTTTTACAGGACTGGACAGCTTGATGTCCAACGTGAAGGCCTTAGGGAGGAGGTACACACCATCTCCCACTCGATACTGGATGCCATTCTTGGTGGCTGAGCTGTAGAGAACCCGGCCATCCAGATCCTTGAGCTGCTCTGTGATCCTGGGAATTTCTTTTTGCCTCATTCCAGCCAGATGAACATAGCTTGTGCAGAGTTTATACTTTTCCTCCATTGGCTGAGTTTTTGGAGGGGACTCAAATCTCGCATCGTTTTGATCATACCACAGCTGGTAGAGATAGGACTTCCCATCCCATCATCCTCTGCCATCAGGGCCTCAGAATCCATGCCTCCCTCCAAGGCCCAGTTTTATGACAGAACTTTATAGACCTTCACTTTGCTGTGAATGTATGAAAAGCTGCATGTCCTCACATTTGTCCACCAGGAACAGCTCCAAGGGGTCTGATGTGGCCCCGAGGACGTTGGGTGTCCCAACACAGAACCAGTGGGTATGCAAGCTCTGCCTTTGCTGCTGTCCTCCCACAGTGCCATGACAGTGGTTTTGAGGAATTATCTGGAATAACAGAGACACAGTTCCCCACTTCCAGGGTTTCTAGGGCAATGTATACTTTCTTATAGTAACTCTTCCCAGCAGTCTTGATGGCTTCTCCAGCCCAGTAGATCAGATTCTTGTACTTTCTTTTCTCCTGATGCATTTTTTTGGAGTGATGGCATCTCCAGGATATTGCCATTGACATTGTTGTGATCTGCCTCCTTCATGACCGTATTGGGACACCTCTCTTGGCAAGCCTGTTTGCTCCATTCCCTACCACCGAATTTAACCATATCCTTACAGGCTTTACACTTTCCACATTTGGGCTGTTGACAAATCTTGCAGATGCCACACAGTCGGCATTTAAAAGCATTCTTCTTGTCTTTGCCATCCTTTATCAGTTTGCTCTGTGAAGAAAGTGTCAAAGATCTGGTAGAGCAGCTTGGTAGTGGTGGCGTTAGTGAGGGCTTTGCCCTTCTTCTTGGCAGAATGCCCAGTGGTCTGACATCTTTCAGCTTTGCCTTTTTCCCAGGATGATCCCTGCCAACTTGATCAGGTCCCTCATGTAGTGAGTCAGGAAGATGGGCTGCTTGTCACTATCCCGAGTCTCATCATAATTCTCTACTTGTTCCACTACAAACTGGGCAGTGAATTGACTTAGGTTGAGCACAGAGGAGAAAGAGTAACTTCAATCTTATTGATCTGGTCTTCATAGGCTGAGTCAGGGCTGTTCTGCAGGAACTCAACTGCTACCTTACTTGGGTAGATCTTCTCCCGCATCATGCTGAACATCAGTGCATTCTCTGCTTTGGGATCCATCATAATATATTTGACAAATGAGGTGCTGAAGTTCATGAGAGCCTTTTCACCTCTGTCAAAGCCAGTGATCCACCATTCACTTATGGTGCCATTATCACCACTTTCAAGAGATCGGTCATCATTTTATATTGATTTTGCTGAATCAGAAAAGGAGACTTTGACATTCTTCTTAATTAGGCTGGTGTTGATCGGGCACAGGTGACCACTTTTACAGTACATGCTGAAGCATGTCAGTTTGGTTGGGGAAGAGCCTCTCAAAGCCAGATTCATTGGCTTCGAAGATAGACATTCTCCCATTTGTTAACAACTGTATCTCATCCACTGCACCAGGAGGATACTCTTCATATCCTAGTTCATTGTCATCCAGGTACTGTCTGCATTGAATGCACCTTGGAGGATGGGTCTTGGAGGACACAACTATTTTGGTTTGAGCAACTTTTTTCTCAGTTGGGTCCTTGGATATAGTTTTGCATCTCTTCTCCTCCCTGCTGGCACTTTAATCTTGGACTTTTAGTCTCCAAACTTTTCATCCTTCTCTTTCTAGTTGGAAACTTGTGATATTACTCTTTGAGGTTCTTTTTCCTCCTGTCTCTGGCAGCCAGAATCTTCGGGTTGTCTTCTGTAACTCTTTCCATCTCTTATCTCCTTCATCCTGAATTTTATCTTGAACTCCTTGTTCTGCCTGGCTCCTTAGATTCTGTTTAGGTGCTTGTTCTTTAGTTTGACCTCTGAATCTCTTCTTTTTCATCTCTTTGTTCTTCTTCCTCCGTGTGTGTTTATGGTTTTACTCTTTCTGGTTCTTCTGCAGGGAGTGGGTTTAGCAACTGGTTCTCTGGATGTGACTTTATGTCTCTTTTCCTCCTAGTCTTTTTCTCCTTCATTGATAGAATCATCCAATTTCCGTCTTTCAAGTGCTTCCTCAGATTTCCTCGCGAAATGAGATGTGATGGTGGTCTGACTGGTAGTTTGCCTTATAATCCTGGGCCTAGATGAGACTTCAGACTTTGTTACTCCATCAGACTTGCATCTTCTGGGTATGCAAAGTTTAGAAACGGGTTTGGGACACTTGTTCTCCTCTGCCATTCTCACTCTGCGGTCCTTACCACTTGTTTTCTAGACATCCATTCACTTCCCAACTGAAAGCCTGAAGTCTGTTCTCCAAGGATAAATCTTTATTTAAAGGGATTTGATTTTAGCCAGGTAGCCCTCCACTGATAGTTCTTCTTTATGTACTTTATATAAAGTCACACAACTGATTCTTTATTTCTGTTTGCAGAAATTCATGCAAGGGGTTCAATTTCTCCTTCACACATTCTCTTTCTGTTAAGCTATCTGAAAACACACGGAGTCTGCTCCTGAACTGCAAAGAAAATCATCCTCACCTCACTGAGCAGGGATCATTTCTTCTTCTTTTTTTTTTTAAACATCTTTATTGGAGTATAATTTCTTTACAATGGTGTGTTAATTTCAGCTTTATAACAAAGTGAATCAGCTATACATATACATATATCCCCATATCTCCTCCCTCTTGCGTCTCTCTCCCACCCTCCTTATCCCATCCCTCTAGGTGGTCACAAAGCACCAAGCTGATCTCCCTGTGCTATGCGGCTGCTTCCCACTAGCTATCTGTTTTACATTTTATAGTATATATAAGTCCATGACACACTCTCACTTCGTCCCAGCTTACCCTTCCCCCTCCCCGTGTCCTCAAGTCCATTCTCTATGTCTGTGTTTTTATTCCTGTCCTGCCCCTAGGTTCTTCAGAACCATTTTTTTTTTTTTACATTCCATATATATGTGTTAGCATACGGTATTTGTTTTTCTCTTTCTGACGTACTTCACTCTGTATGACAGACTCTAGGTCCATCCACCTCACTACAAATAACTCAATTTTGTTTCTGTTTATGGCTGAGTAATATTCCATTGTATGTATGTGCCACATCTTCTTTATCCATTCATCTGTCGATGGACACTTTGGTTGCTTCCACATCCTGGCTGTTGTAAATAGAGCTGCAATGAACATTTTGGTACATGACTCTTTTTGAATTATGGTTTTCTCAGGGTATATGCCCAGTAGTGGGATTGCTGGGTCATATGGTAGTTCTATTTTTAGTTTTTTAAGGAACCTCCATACTGTTCTCCATAGTGGCTGTAGCAATTTACATTCCCACCAACAGTGCAGGAGGGTTCCCTTTTCTCCACACTCTCTCCAGCATTTATTGTTGTAGATTTTTTTTTTTCTTGGTGGTACGTGGGCCTCTCACTGTTGTGGTCTCTCCCGTTGCAGAGCACAGGCTCCGGACGCGCAGGCTCAGTGGCCATGGCTCACGGGCCCAGCCGCTCTGCGGCATGTGGGAACTTCCCGGACCGGGGCACGAACCCGTGTCCCCTGCATCAGCAGGTGGACTCTCAACCACTGTGCCACCAGGGAAGCCCTTTGTAGATTTTTTGATGGCCATTCTGACTGGTGTGAGGTGATACCTCATTTAGTTTTGATTTGCATTTCTCTAATGATTAGTGAGTGATGTTGAGCATTCTTTCATATGTTTGTTGGCAATCTGTATATCTTCTTTGGAGAAATGTCTGTTTAGGTATTCTACCCATTTATGGATTGGGTTGTTTGTTTTTTTTGATATTGAGCTGCATGAGCTGCTTGTAAATTTTTGAGATTAATCCTTTGTCCGTTGCTTCATTTGCAAATATTTCCTCCCATTCTGAGGGTTCTCTTTTCGTCTTGTTTATGGTTTCCTTTGCTGTGCAAAAGCTTTTAAGTTTCATTAGTTTATTTTTGGTTTTATTTCCATTACCCTAGGAGGTGGGTCAAAAAGGATCTTGCTGTGATTTATGTCATAGAGTGTTCTGCCTATGTTTTCCTCTAGGAGTTTTATAGTGTCTGGCCTTACGTTTAGGTCTTTAATCCATTTTGAGTTTATATTTGTGTATGGTGTTAAGGAGTGTTCTAATTTCATTCTTTTACATGTAGCTGTCCAGTTTTCCCAGCACCACTTATGGAAGAGGCTATCTTTTCTCCATTGTATGTTCTTGCCTACCTTGTCATAAATTAGGTGACCATATGTGCGTGGGTTTATCTCTGGGCTTTCTATCCTGTTCCATTGATCTATATTTCTGTTTTTGTGTCAGTACCATACTGTCTTGATTACTATAGCTTTGTAGTATAATCTGAAGTCAGGGAGCCTGATTCCTCCAGCTCCATTTTTCCTTCTAAAGATTGCTTTGGCTATTCGGGGTCTTTTGTGTTTCCATACAAATTGTGAAATTTTTTGTTCTAGTTCTGTGAAAAATGCCATTGGTAGTTTGATAAGGATTGCATTGAATCTATAGATTGCTTTGGGTAGTATGGTCATTTTCACAATGTTGATTCTTCCAATCCAAGAACATGGTGTATCTCTCCATCTGTTTGTATCATCTTTAATTTCTTTCATCAGTGTCTTATAGTTTTCTGCATACAGGTCTTTTGTCTCCTTAGGTAGGTTTATTCCTAGGTATTTTATTCTTTTTGTTGCACTGGTGAATGGGAGTGTTTCCTTAATTTCTCTTTCAGATATTTCATCATTAGTGTATAGGAATGCAAGAGATTTCTGTGCATTAATATTGTATCTTGCTACTTTACCAAATTCATTGATTAGCTCTAGTAGTTTTCTGGTAGCATCTTTAGGATTCTCTATGTATAGTATCATGTCATCTGCAAACAGTGACAGCTTTACTTCTTCTTTTCCGATTTGGATTCCTTTTATTTCCTTTTCTTCTCTGATTGCTGTGGCTAAAACTTCCAAAACTATGTTGAATAAGAGTGGTGAGAGTGGGCAACCTTGTCTTGTTCCTGATCTTAGTGGAAATGGTTTCAGTTTTTCACCATTGAGGATGATGTTGGCTGTGGGTTTGTCATATATGGCCTTTATTATGTTGAGGAAAGTTCCCTCTATGCCTACTTTCTGCTTTTCTCCTTCCATTTGTTAATATGGTGTATCACATTGATTTATTTGCATATATTGAAGAATCCTTGCATTCCTGGGATAAACCCCACTTGATAATGGTGTATGATCCTCTTAACATACTGTTGGATTCTGTTTGCTAGTATTTTGTTGAGGATTTTTGCCTCTTTGTTCATCAGTGATATTGGTCTGTAGTTTTCTTCTTTTGTGGCATCTTTGTCTGGTTTTGGTATCAGAGTGATGGTGGCCTCATACAATGAGTTTGGGAGTGTTCCTTTCTCTGCTATATTTTGGAAGAGTTTGAGAAGGATAGGTGTTGGCTCTTCTCTAAATGTTTGTTGGAATTTGCCTGTGAAGCCATCTCTTCCTGGGCTTTTGTTTGTTGGAAGATTTTTAATCACAGTCTCAATTTCAGTGCTTGTGAATGGTCTGTTCATATTTTCTGTTTCTTCCTGGTTCAGTCTCGGAAAGTTGTGCTTTTCTAAAAATTTGTCCATTTCTTCTAGGTTGTCCATTTTATTGACATATAGTTGCTTGTAGTAATCTCTCATGATCCTTTGCATTTCTTCAGTGTCACTTGTTACTTCTCCTTTTTCATTTCTAATTCTATTGTTTTGAGTCTTTTCCTTTTTTTTCTTGATAAGTCTGGCTAATGGTTTATGAATTTTGTGTATCTTCTCAAAGAACCAGCTTTTAGTTTTATTGACCTTTGCAATCGTTTCCTGCATTTCTTTTTCATTTAGTTCTGATCTGATCTTTATGATTTCTTTCCTTCTGCCAACTTGGGGTTTTTTTGTTTTTCTTTCTCTGATTGCTTTAGGTGTAAGGTTAGGTTGTTTATTTGAGATGTTTCTTATTTCTTGAGGTAGGATTTTATTGCTATAAACTTGCCTGTTAGAACTGCTTTTGTTGCATCCCATAGGTTTTGGGTCATTGTGTTTTCATTGTCATTTGTTTCTAGGTATTTTTTGATTTCCTCTTTGATTTCCTCAGTGATCTCTTGGTCATTAAGTAGTGTACTGTTTAGTCTCCATGTGGTTGTATTTTTGCACATTTTTCTCCTGTAACTGATATCTAGTCTCATAGCATTGTGGTTGGAAAAGATAGTTGATACGGTTTCGATTTTCTTAAATTTACCAAGGCTTGATGTGTGACCCAAGATATGATCTATCCCGGAGACTGTTCCCTGAGCACTTGAGGAGAAAGTGTATTCTGTTTTTTTTGGATGGAATGTCCTATAAATATCAATTAAGTCCATCTTGTTTAATGTATCATTTAAAGCTTGTGTTTCCTTATTTATTTTCATTTTGGATGATCTGTCCATTGGCCAAAGTGGGGTGTTAAAGTCCCCTACAGTAACTTTGTTACTGTCCATTTCCCCTTTTATGGCTGTTAGCATTTGCCTTATGTATTGAGGTGCTCGTATGTTGGGTACATAAATATTTAGGATTGTTATGTCTTCTTCTTGGATTGATCCCTTGATCATTATGTAGTGTCCTTCTTTGTCTCTTGTAATAGTCTTTATTTTAAAGTCTGTTTTGTCTGATATGAGAATTGCTACTCCAGCTTTCTTTTGATTCCCATTTGCATGGAATATCTTTTTCCATCTGCTCACTTTCAGTCTGTATGTGTCCCTAGGTCTGAAGTGGGTCTCTTGTAGACAGCATATTTATGGGTCTAGTGTTTGTATCCATTCAGCCATTTTATGTCTTTTGGTGGGAGCATTTAATCCATTTCCACTTAAGGTAATTATCGATATGTATGTTTCTATTACCATTTTCTTAATTGTTCTTTTCTTTTTATTGAACGTCTTTTTGATACGTTGCAGTTGACACTTTTGCAAATTAGGGAGTTCACATGAGTAGAGATATTTTCTCAGATTTCTTACCCAGGAAGTATCCTTGGTCCTCACACCATGGACCTATTTTCTTCTTTTGCAACATTTGTTCTCTGCTTCAAAGTCCTGTCATTTAACTATATACTTTCCCCCTTTCACTTCTTTTTGTTGCCTTTTTGCATCTCTTCTGTGTAACACTGTTCCTGGTGTTTTGGCCTTTGCTTCTATTGACCAACACTGTGGTTGGTTATTTTAACCAAAATCATTGATCCTGGTTTTACCCACTCCCCAATTACCAGGGATCCCCTGATTGGGACATTTTTATAAATCATTTCTCAGGGTCTATGCCACGAGAGCACAATGTAGCTAAAATTGTAGACTTGAATCACTTATAAGACAAGCATGACAAAGCAAGAGAATGAGGCAGTTGGGGAACCCTTTAAGTATCTGTTACCTGCCACTCACTACTCACATCCTCATGGTTTTCATCTTAGTCTGATAATGAAGGGCCTGGAGTGGGCATTCTGTGTCAGTTGCAGACCACAGTGATTCCAGACTCAGGGCCATATTGTACTATATTGAACCTGACATTATACTCTAGAAACCTCTCTTTCTATCGAACAGCCCCAACTGAGTTAACAATTGTTTGTGAAGGGGAAAATATGGGTCAGTTTATATCACCACTCTATGTTGGAACAGTGTATGTCCATGTACCTTATGGAAATAGAGTAGGAAGTTTTCTTTTTTGCAAATGGCCACTATTTAATCTTTTAAGGACATTGAGTACTTCTGATGATGTGGAAAGTGTCAGAAAAGACACACTGGTTAGTTTTCAACATCAAATGAAAATAGAATCATCATAAAGGTTTTTCAAACTGCTCACTCATCTCTTTGGTAATTTACCTTTTTCTTTGGTACATTAGGTCAAATGCCTCATTAACTTTGTCAAAGCAAGGGTATGGGACATCAGTGCATCCAGATCGAATTTCTTATTCTTGTAGTCAGCAGCCAGCTTTGGGACAGAATCGATACCTTTCCAACCTGTAATTGGCCAAAATGCCAAATAAAGACATGGTGCTTCACATGGAAAGGTAGTTTAACCAGTGTTTGTTGAATGAATGAAATTATCAGGTCAGATTTGGGTTGCTTCAAATAGCTTATCCCCCTGCCATCTTTAATTTTTTGTACTTCAATCTATTAAATTTTTTTTCTTCAAGAGAAAAATTCAAGATTATTTTCTATTTCTAGATAAGGAAGTATCTCAATTTGATCACCGTCTACCTTTTGTTCCCCTATGTTGGTCCATTTTAATGCAAACTGAATTTCAATTCGCGAATTACAGTTATCCTTCTATAAAAAACTGTTTACTTTCAAGTAACTAATAGAATAAATAGCTTTCATGTAGTCTTCAGATATATTCTAGGCACTCAATATTTAAAAACTAAATTATTTTCCTTTCCTTTCAATAATCCTAATTATGATAATATGACTACTACTATGAAGAAAATTAAAAGAAAAAAAAAAAAACTGACCACCAAAGCTTGTTCCATTTAGAGTACGGCCCATTCATTATTAGCTCCACTGCAGAAACACTCAATCCGTTGTCACCAACGTTTACTCCAATGATGTACATACCCCCCAACCTACTGTTTTGCTGCTCTCTGGAAGGTCAAACAAAAAGATTAGCTGAGTAAGTAGAAAAATAGAACATGAACTCCAATGTGGGTTTGTACAATAGTTTAGGGAAATTTTACACAACTCTGCATACAAGATAATGGCTAATGAGGTTGTAATATTGTAGATTGAGACTTGAGGCACCAGTGTTCTGTTTCAGATAGAACATCCAATAAAAGTTTGAATGTCATCAAAAAAGATATTGAAAAGAAACCAAACATATTTTACTCTGTTTAATACCACACTTATGCTGAACCTAGAATGTATCTCATTGTATATCAAGAAAAATATACGTACATGAAGGTAAAGAAAGATCTATAGAAGATATTATAAACTCTAGTCAACAAGTTTTTGACGAGGTACAATGGTATATATGAAGATATTTGCAATTCCAGGGACAAAGGATCAAAATTAAGTCACGAACAGAGGGTGAATAGGTATTCACTAGAGTCTAAAAATGAGGCATATACTGTAAACTTAGCAGATCTCAATGTAGGATAATTTAAAAGAAATGCTATTTAAAACAGAAGGCAAAACGGTTAAACAGAAAATAACAGTGGCTGCTGCTCATCAAACATTTCATCGCTTCCCTATATTTTTTAGCTCTCTTGCAGTTAAGTAGAGTCATATGACTAGTTCTGGGCTATGGGCAGGAGTGACGTGTGCCATTTCCTAGCCAAAATAGAAAAGCCAGTGTACAACCGCCAGCTGTCCCTTCTGCTCTAACAACCAAGAGGACCTGATGTTGAGATTGTAAAGCCACAAATTTGAACTTCCTTGATTGCTGAGTCACTACATGGAAGACAGGGGCCCAGGGGATTTGCATTGATCTTTGCATGAGAGAAAGAAAATATTATCTTAACCTGCTGCAGGTTTGGAGTTAATATAAAAATGCCAAGATTGAAAATGTAAATAAGTTTAAGAAAGATACAAACTTGTGGATGGCCATTCCACATAGAAGCCCTATGTTATAGTTGAACATTTAAAATTTTGAGACTAATATTATACAAGAAAAATATAAACTTATCCCATATCATTTGCCATAGCCAGTGGTTAACTTGGTTCTCACCTGTTGAGGCAACTTTTACTTCTACAGAAGTCCCAATAGGAATACCATTCCTGTTCATCACTGATCATTATATGAAAGAAGCAATCTGAAGTACAGTAAATTCTTTCCCTCTTCTCTCTGTCTGTCTTACTAGGGATGGACAATGCAATGACCTGGAGCTTTTAGAATGTGTTTTGAAATCTTCATTTGAATATGTATTTATAGTTTTGAGAATGTCTAACATTTCTAAATAGCAACTCTTCTAGTTTCTATACTTCTTATATGGCAGAAATATTTTTGTTTAATGTATATTGTACAGAGAGATCCACAGAGAGAGGTAAAGAGCACAGGCACTGCTTGTGACCTTAAGGTAGCTGCCTACATTACTCCTGTTTTTTGTTTTTGTTTTTTTTTTTAATTTAATGTTTTTCCTATTGCCCTTCTCTACATTTCTGAGCTTTGCTCCAAGCAGGGAATTAACCTCCATAATTATAACTTAGTTAAATGGGTATTATATGCAAATACAGGGTTTTATTTAGTAGCCTCTGATAACTTCTGATGAGAATTATTTTTAATTCTCAGAATCTTATAAAATTGTCCACTACTGTAAGTTTCTAATTGTTCTGTTGCGTTCTTTAGACTGCTTTAGAGCATTAGCGGTCATTGAAATTAAGTTCATTCCCATTACTGGAATCTCCTCCACAACGTAGAAATTAAGCTTTCCCTAGTTATGGAAGCTTTTGGTGGAAGGGTAGTTAGCCCATATTTTTGTGATTAAACTCATCTCTTTTTATTTGGGTTCTCTAGTGTAATTCTATTCCATAATTTAAAATATGTTTCTTGGTGTACTAAATAAGTTAATAATAGAACCTGCCAAGTTTTGGATCAGTGGTCCTCAGCTTGAGAACCAGTGCATGAGAATATCCTGGGTATGGGTCGATTCACTGATACTGGAAAACAACAACAACTCCCCAGGTACTTCTGAAGTATAGCCAGTCTTGAGAATCTCTATACTAGAAAAATAAGTGGGCTGAATTTCAGTGTTTGTGAAACAAATGAGCTGTGGGAAGTGGAGAGGGAGGGATGTGGCACATTGCAGGCCGCAGGTGCCAAGGACAATTGAAAAAGCAAGGGCTGAAGCTTTGGATGCAGGGGAGCGGTGCAGTACGAGGGGTCCTCACTGCACGAAATGTCAGTAATAGCTAACATTTATCGAGTGCTTATTACCTGTCAGATCCTCTTTTAAGCAGTTGCACTAGTATAATGAAACCATTCTAAGAGGAAAGACCCAGGAAGGGCAGCCTTCCCGGTCTCCATCCTCTTTTGTCATATCATGTTGTGTCAGGTAAGAACCGAGGGGAAAATTGCCAAAGCCTGCTCCTGGGAGGTTGAAGTACAGAATTTCATTCTTTGTACCCTCTAGAGGAGAGTTTCAGGAGCCAGGCTGAGTGAAGGGGTAAATAAAAGGGAATAGTGTCATAACGACTTCACAGCTCTCACTCATGAACTAAGAAGCCTCCATAGGCAGAAAAGTTAGTTGATGAATTCTTTGGTCATCTTGTTAAAAAAAAACAAAACAAAACTCTACTTAGTGGCTTTGAGCAAAGATGCATTAGGTGAATATTTGCTGGAGACTAAGGCTGCGTGCTCTGGAGGCTAACTTCTCCCTATGTTGCCTGTGCAGTTGGCTCTTTACCCCATTTTCTGGAGCAGAACAGACAGGACTGGCTGTGTGAAGCCTGCAACCAGTGCAGTTGCCCAGGGCCCTGCACTCAGAAGGGCCCTCCTTTGCTGTCCTGAGAGGAGAAGAAATCTGAATGATACGAAATTGTAGTGTTTAGGAAAAAAAGATTGAGTTTTTAATTTTGCAGCTTGTTGATTTTTTTAATTGAAAATTTCACATATATAATTTGGACCTAATTCTGCAACCGGATTATTGAGATCTGATGGACAGAACTGGCTTGTTTGTAGGTTGCTAACATCTCCTTGCTCTACTTTAAGATGAGAGTGGATACCTCTGGCTGTTAGGGGTGACTCCATTCACCCTGTCTATTCCCTCCTCTAAATCTGCCTTTTCTATTATTTTTCCTCACTTCTCATAGGCACAATTCTTTGAAAGTTTTTATTTCTAAGTTTTCTCTTAATTTTTTGCTGACTTTCATGTGAAAGAATAAACAAATATTAATAACACATTAATATTAAATAGTAAGTGTTAATATTTATTAATAAGTAAACATTAATTATATGTATGTAACATATAATGATATCTAATATAGTATTAATAACTATTCTTAAACATAATTTATACATGTATATAAATATTAAAATTTAATAAATATATTAAGATGCACATATTATAAATGTTAATGTTAATAAGCGATATTTATTATATCCTATTATAAAAAATATACATACCATGATTTTAGCTCCACCTATACACTCAAAGGCAAAATCCACACCTCCATTGGTCATTTCAACGATGACCTCCTGAATGGGTTTATCTAGGTCTCTAGGATTGAGGCAGTCGGTGGCTCCAAGGGCTCTGGCCTTTGTAAACTTCTCACTTTTGATGTCAATAACTATGATTCTGGAAGCTCCTGCTGCTTTATAACTGATTACAGCTGAAAGACTGACACCTCCTAGGCCAAAGATGGCACATGTAGAGCCAGGTGTGACCTGCAGGCAAGAAAATTATAAATTAACTTCTCAAGCAGCTGTTCCCACTTTTTTTTTTTTTTTCTTGACCACTCTGTGCTGCATGCGGGATCTTTGTTCCCTGATCAGGGATAGAATGCGTGCCCCCTGCATGGGAAGCACAGAGTCTTAACCACTGGACCACCAGGAGTCCCTGGTCCCACTTTGTAAAAAAGGGACCGAGTGAGGTGGGGGCAGGACCATATAAATAAAGACTGCCTGTCATAAAACTAAACAATATAGCTAAATGGGAGCAATTTGCCAACATGAAAATGGATGAATCACTGGCTAAATCTGCAGAAACACTTGAAGGCCATTAGATATTCAGCTCATAATGAACAAACCCAAGTGAAAATCATTCTCTTGTCTTCCTTTTCCCTTTGGTGTTATGAGAACAAAAACTGAAGCCCACACATTTTAATGGGTTTATTGGTTTCTTTTTAAAATAGATCAAAGTGAGAGAGTAGCACTGACATATATACACTACTGAATAATGTAAAATAGATAGCTAGTGGGAAGCAGCCGCATAGCACAGGGAGGTCAGCTCAGTGCTTTGTGACCACCTAGAGGGGTGGGATAAGGAGGGTGGGAGGGAGGTGCAAGAGGGAGGGGATATGGGGATATATGTATACGTATAGCTGATTCACTTTGCTATACAGCAGAAACTAACACACCATTGTAAAGCAATTATACTCCAATAAAGATGTTAAAAAAAAAAGATCAGAAGCCCCAGTGTTCATTGCAGCACTATTTATGATACCCAAGATATGGAAGCAACCTAAATGTCCATTGACAAATGAGTGGATAAAGAAGATGTGGTACATATATACAATGGAATAATTATTCAGCAATAAAAAAGAATGAAATAACGCCATTTGCAGCAACATGAATAGACCTAAAGATGATCATACTAAGTGAAGTAAGTCAGACAGAGAAAGACAAATATCATATGATATCACTTATATGTGGAATCTAAAAAAAAAATGATAAAAACGAACTTATTTACAAAATAGAAATAGACTCACAGACTTCAAAAACAAACTTATGGTTACCAAAGGGGAGGGGGGGAGGGATAAATTAGGAGTTTGGGATTAACATACATACACTACTAGATATAAAATAAATAATCAACAAGGACCTACTGTATAGCACAGGAAATTCTACGCAGTATTCTATAAGAACCTATATGGGAAAAGAATCTGAAAAAGAATAGATATGTGTGTATGTATAACTGAATCATTTTGCCATATACCTGAAACTAACATAACATTGTAAATCAACTATACTCAGATATAAAATAAAAAATCAAATTAAAAAAAGATACAGATAAAAAAATAGATCACAAGTAATTTGACATCTCTATTTCTAATAGGCCTTATTTGGTTGTATTAATGTTGTAGTTGGGTTTGAATGACCACAAGTATCTCTCTAAATGTGAATTAACTCAATCATTCCAAATCATCACTTCATTCAAATGGAATGAAGTCTATATTTCTTTGCATGGCATTGAAGGATTTTTACTATCTCGTTCCATTACCTTCCAACTTCATCTCCATGATAATCCCAGTACCACAGCCACAACAAACTTTCAGTTTCCTTTCCTCATGCCTTAGTTCATACTGTTCCCTCAGCCTGATGTACTTTTCACCTTATTTCCTTCAATTAAAATATAACCAATACCTCTAGGCCCAACTTAAATCACACTCTCCCCATGAAATGTTTCTTGATTCTTCAATTAGAAATTAGCGCCCACCTTTTTACTTTTTTTATATCATATAATTTATAATTATTCTTGATTGATTTTGTTTGCATAAAAGACTACAAAATCTTTGAAGGCATATAATCTTTCACATTGCTATCAAGGAGTGTTCTTATCTTTTGTCTTTGATAAATGTTTGTTACATTGAATTAAAAAGAAACATAATATATAAGATGATAAGGAAAGGTGCTGTAGCTGGAATATGTTATTTTGTACAGTGGTATAGTGGCAAAAAAATTACTATACAGAGAGATGTTCAATTAATATTTTCTAATGGTGATGAGAAACTGTTAGAATTAAAGCATAAACAAAAGGGAAA